CTTTTTTTCTAAAAAAAAAAAAAAAAAAAAGGTGCCGGAACTCACACACATCATAAACCCGCCTTGCCTACCCTACAAGGTTCCATCCAAAACAGGTGCCGGAACTCCGTTCTGGACTTCTATGAGAAAAAAAGCCCTGGGTAGGAATAATAATAATAATAATAATAATTTGGAAGGGACCTTGGAGGTCATCTAGTCCAACCCCCTGCTCAGGCAGGAAACCTAATGGTGGGATTCAGCCAGTTCGCACCACTTTAGCAGAACCGGTAGCTAATTTTTTGTTGCCCGCCCAGAATGGACTTCCGGAAGCGGCATCTACACACAGAACCGGTTGTTCACATATTTGAATCCCACTACTGAGGAAACCCTAATAAGTCTACTATTCCTTAGCTTTAGGTAATGGAATATGGGGTGAATATCTGTGAGGGGATTACGAAAGATGGTTTCTGGGGTGAGGGAATGTTATGAAGTATTGTACAGGCTTTTGTACAGACTTACTGTAGTTTCCATGGAACCCTGTTAAGTCCTTTTAGACCAGCATGGTTGGTGAATTGAGAAGGTTGGCTTTCCAATGAGCAAGCTGGGCCCCTTTGCAAAGCACAGGCTTCTGCTGAGACCAGATAGCAACAGGAGTTCTTTTCATTTTTCCTCTAGGGCTTTTTGGCTGTTTGTAGCTGGTAACTGGAGGTAGCGATTACCAGGAAATGTGTATTTTGCAGTGCTCAAACTTGATGCTGTCACTTTTGAGTTGCAAGTTTGAAATATTGCCCTTATGTACTTCTTACACATCTATTTCTGGCTGCAATTTTGTTTTTAAAGGGCATTTTTTAAATAAACATAGCAGTAATGCCACCTAGTGAGAAAAGTTATTATGTAACTTGACACATTTTCCCCAGTGCTTTAAAACAGCATTTCATTAATAATGATTTAAGTCAAGGAGTGAGAAACAATTATCTGCTGTATAAGGTTGACTAGATAAACAACTGGCCCTGTGGTGCAGCCGGAATAATCTAGAACTGAACACACTTAAAACTGTAGAGATGATAGATTTTAGGAGGAGCACTCCTATTCTACCAACAATACAGTATCAGCAGTAGAGACCTTCAAATGTCTTGGTTCTATAATCTCCCAGGATTTGAAATGGATACCTAACATTAGAACAACAAAGAATGTTTTTCCTGGGGCAACTCAGAAAGCTCAGACTGCCCAGGGAGCTGCTGATAACAGCAATCAAACAGGTACAGACTTTAATGGATAGTTAGGATTGCAGAAAAAACAATTGAAATCAGCCTGCCTTCCATTGAGGACCTATATCAGTGATGGCGAACCTTTTAGAGACTGAGTGCCCAAACTGCAACCCAAAACCCACTTATGCATCGTCGAGTGCCGGGTGGGTGTGGCCCATTGGCTGGGCGTGGCTGCAGTGGTAAAGGCAGCCTGGGTGGGACTAAAAAGTTCAATCAATCAATTCCAACTTTGCAAGATCTTTTTTTTCCCCGCGAGTTGAAATTGATTGATTGAACCTTTTTTTTTGCACATGGCGGCGGAGGCCTAAAGCGAAAAGGTTTTTATAAAACCCAGCTGAAGGCCTAGGACTGGGGCGACGGCGCGCGTGCCCACAGAGAGGGCTCTGAGTGCCTCCTCTGGCACCCGTGCCATAGGTTCGCCACCACTGACCTATATACTGCACAAGCCAGAAAGAGGGCTGAGAAAATGTCTACAGACCCCACATACTGGACATAAACGGTTTTAATTCCTCCCCTCAGGATGCCGCTAGAGCAGACATGTCAAACTCACGACGTCATACGTATTGGGACGGTTTTGCCATTGCCAGCAATGGGGTGGGCGCGGCTTCCGGATGATGCATCCGGCCCATGGGCTGGCAGTTTGACACCCCTGCGCTAGAGCATTGTATGCCAAAACTAGTTTCTCCCCATGCCAACACTCTGCTAAACACCTAATTCCCACAACAGTCTTATGCCTAAGAATATCCAATATGTAGTAGGATTGTATAACTATTACCTTCTCATCTTTCCTATTACCTACTCCTTGTGACTATCATTTTGTTGTATTTTATGATTATTGTATCTTATGATTTATGATTTCTCATTTTGTTGCTTGCATGTATACAGAGAGCTTATGCACTGGAGAAAAAAATCCTTGTGTGCCCAATCACACTTGCCCAATAAAGAATATTCTAATTTTAAAACATTCCTCTGTGTCTGTTTCATTCAGAAACAGCCAGTGCTTTGTTAATAATGAAAAAAACATTTTCTATAATTTGCTCCAAAGATCTAGAAACCTTGGAAAACACAATCTTTGTGCGTAATCGATTTGTGTATCAATGGGATACGTTCCTTGGGAGAGCAACTGAACCACAGTATGTTCAAACAGAAAAGTAGGTGAGAAAGAATAAGACCCCAATAACAAGTGGATGTTATATCAGAAGCAAATGGAGGATTGATGGAAGCCTTTTTGGTGAAGATTTGAATATAACGTATTATGGTACTTTCCTGTAATTACAATTCAGTGATCATCTGTAAATTTACAAAGATTCTGCATTCACATTGAAACCTTCTTCTATAGGCTTTAGAGTTTTCTTTTCAAGATCTTTTAAAAATAAAGTTCTGATGTGCTTTTTTCTTACAAAGCAAGGAAACCCCACAATTCCTTGTAGAGCAATTGTTCACTACTCACTCGGCCTTGTCTTACAATAGTTTAATCAGAGACTTTCTCAAATGAAGCTACAGACCAGATCATATCATATATTGTCTAGCTTATTTGTTGTTTTGCAGCTAATTTAGCTACTAAAAGTAGAAGCTGAATATGTTTACTTTGCTAATTCTTTTTCATTCTCACTTTCTAGACTTTGAAGAACCTGTTTTATTTTGCTAAAAAAATGTTCTGATGTAGTTTATATCTGCTTTTCCTAAGAGATGCTTGTGTTTGTTTAAATCTACTCTTAGTATCAAATTCTTAATCTCAATTTTTTCTAATTTTGTTAATTCTTTTCTAAGAAATTGTACCAGATCCTGATTTGGAGAGCAGGTCGAAACAATACTGAACTTAGTAATTTATCTAATTCTCTCTTAATAAATACTGACCTTTCATTGCTGTCCTTCATTAATCTGTGAGTTTTAAAATGTAAACTAGTCTTAAACAAACTTGCAACTTCTTTTGACTTATTGGGGTCTGTAACAAAATATGCTTATTGACATATTAAGCTTTGATATTATGTGTTCTAAAAGTTTCTTCCAACATAACTGAGGGGGAAAGGATCTTATACAGGTAGTCCTCGACTTACAACATTTCATTTAGTGACCGTTTGAAGTTACAATGGCACTGAAAAAAATAACTTATGACCATTTTTCACATTTATGACCGTTATAGTATCCCCATGATC